TGGTCGAGAAGTACACGATGCTCATCGAACGGCACCGGCAGAACCAGCAGAACGGATTAACGGCGTCTGTCCGTGGCGGCAAACCGCCATCGACGGCGGCGGCGTCRTCGTCGGACCGTTCCTCGTCGCCGCCGCAGACCAAGACGACGGCACCGTCTGGCCCGGCTTTAGGCGACGACGCGGCCGCGTGGAACCGCCTGCTGATGGACAACGGTGCGGGTGAGAACGAAAACGACGACGGCTACGGGTACGGCGACGGTGAAGACGATGACGACGACGACGGCGGTGGAGGTTGCGACCGTCGGTTCAGTAGCGTGTCGTTGAACAGCATCCAAGCCGGTAAGTGCACGCGCGATTGCTGCAACCGCCGCCGCCGCGGTCACTGCGAGACGGCGGCCACGCGTGATGGCGGCGAGGCGGAGGGGGGATAAGTTGCCGGTTACCACGTGCTCCCGGCTATCGGCGCGCGCGCGCGCTCATAATGATATTACGCAACGACGGCCCATGTGCCTCGGACGACGACGACYGTTTCCTTTTCTTCCACTTTCCGTTTCGTCGATTTTTGTCCKAGATCGCTTCGCTCACTATTTTCTACTGTACGCTCCGTTACTTTATGATAATAATATTATTGTTATTAAGCTCGCGAGATCGAACGGAAACTCTTTGAAGTATATTTATCGACGTACAATAACACGCTCTCTCGTCGTTTGAACAACAATTGAATACAGGATGATTGACCGAGCAAATCTTTTTTTGTTTTTTTTTTTTTGTGCGATACGCAGCAGTTCAAAATCTGATGTTTGGCGCTATTTTTAAATGACCCTAAACGGTCTAAACAGAATTTGCTCGCAGAGTCCTGGGAATATATACATATGAAAGCTTACATTTTTTGTTCAATCGAGAACCCAATTATTCCTCTGTAAATAAAATTAACCCCTCACTAGATACACAAAGTTCTTAAAATTGTAACAATCTCTAGWAAACAGCTAAAAAATGACTACAAAAAATTCCGCAGCGAAAAAGATAACCCACACAAATCCGACGATAGGTATCCGACTTGTGTCAGTGCAAGATTCATGCCAAATAACACCCCC